TTCACGTTTAATATTTTCAATCGACTCAAAACGGTGTCCTCGAAGTGGTCTCTTGAAGTTTTGGTAGAGCAAGAAGTCACATGGTGCTAAGTCCGACGAATACGGTGCTTTGGCGAACGATATTCGTGGAAGCCTTAGTGAAATGGTCACGAAGAATGAGTGCTGTGCGCATTATCGTGATGCAAAAACCACGAAGGCACTATTAGTCGTATAGTAAACACAAACGTAACGAAAATACCAATGATGACATTGACATAAAGTTTGACGTAGATGTCAATAACAATGCTGCCAACATTAAAAAAAGAGAATTAACCCGAAATATTAAACGCGCGTAGGTCAAATCAAAAATTCACCTTACTTTTTGCTCACAGTAGTATCGAGAATCGATAAAATGAATAATATTTGATGAGTGCATAAGTTCGTGCCCGATTTCAAGTGCAAACTAATATTGAAATTTTTTGAAGAAAGCGCTTTTATTAATCAATTATGTATTCGCCATCATGTTCGGCAATCCACTCCCAACGTTCAACCAATATACGGATGCCTGATTCATAGAAATCGCGCGGTTTCTCGTTGAAAAAGGTGTCAAGGTGGTTTTTGACGTCTTCCACATTTTAAAATTTTTTTCCATTCAAATTGTTCTGCAGCGATCGAAACAAATGATAATCAGAAGGTGCAATGTCGGGTGAATATGGGGGATGCGGCATGATTTCCCAATTCATCTCCTTCAGTTTGGCCAGGGTCGGTTTTGCAACATGTGGCCTGGCGTTGTCATGATGGAAAAGAACTCCTTTGCGATTGGCCAAAATCGGACGTTTTTCATCAATTGCTTTCTTCAATTCGACCAATTGCTGACAATACTTGTTGGCAGTGATCGTTTCTCCAGCTGGCAAGAGCTCAAAATAGATCACGCCTCGGATATCCCACCAAATGCACAGCAGTACCTTCATCGGATGCAATCCACCTTTCGACATCGGTTCCGCCCCTTCGTGTGCCTGTTTCCATGTTCTTTTGCGTTGAACATTGTTGTACAGGATCCATTTTTCATCACCAGTCACGAGCCGATCCAAAAAAGGTTCGTTTTTGATCCGTCGAAGCAAAGAAATTGCTGTTGACATACGGTCCACTTTGTTTTTTTCACTCAACTGATGTGGCACCCATGTATCGAGCTTCAAAGTGTACCCAACCTTTTTTAAACGACGAAACGCAGTTGATTTGTTGACGTTCAATTCACTGGCAACCTCTTCCGTCGAAATACGTGAGTTATTCGCAACTAAAGTCCTTAGAACATCGTCATCAAGCTCAGAAGGCCGTCCACTGCGAGGTTGATCTTCGAGGTTAAAATCTCCAGAACGAAATTTCGCGAACCATTTCTTTACTGTGCGGAGTGCTGGAGCACGGTCCAAATAAACTTCGCGAATATCTTTAGTTGCAGCGCCTACTGTTTTTCCTTTGCGGAATTCGTATAACATAATATGACGCATATGATCTTTTTCGTTGTCCATCTTCCATGCGTCTTTTCACTAAGCAACTCAAATCAAAATGAAGTTATTTTATGCTTAATTTACAGTTCGGACTGTCACCTTCCCAACGATATATAATATGTATATATTTCTTTCACGAGCGCCACTCTCAAACGATTCGAACGGCATCCAGCGGAATCGGGCACAAACTTATGCACTCATCCAATAAATTGAAAATATTATTATTTAATTTTTCTCAATAGCGACGACAAATCTTTATTTAGCAAGGAAAAAAATTATAAATTAATTTTAGTTTTATTTTTCGTTTTATAAATTCTGATAAGTGCAGCTCATTAAAATTATTTAAAATATTAAAATATACAAAATCTGAAATTATTTTGTATACCAAAAATAAATTCAAAAATTTATTAAAACTTTTTAGTTACCACTCCATACGCTTTTACCCTATAACCTATAAAAGTCATTCCTATTCGATGTGACACCCTCCTTAAGGTTATCATCATAATCAATGTAAATTGATTTAGTTTTACTAACTCTGACAGCTGCAATCAAGCAAACGCCATTCAATGCTGTCAAAAGCACGCTGTTGTTAACGGTGAAAAAGTTACTTTTAATTTAAGTATTCGCTACATTGCGATATACATATGTATATACAAGCATATTTACTTCAATATTATTACGCCAAGAAAAAAATGCTAGTATATAAAAGTAAACAAGTGAAAACTAATAGTAGGTGTAGTAAAAAGTAATCCATTATTTTTGCATAAATTATTATTATTATTATTCCAATAGTTGCAAACCTATTTTTGTGCAATCTTCAGCTCCTGGGCAATCGAAACAGTGCTTACATGACGGTCGGACTCGACAATGTCCGTGACTTTGTAGACGTTTTCAACAGTTGACCGGAATGAAACCGAAATGGTGTATGATTGGCTGTAACAGTATCAGGACCATAAACGCTATTCACATTTTCAGCCCTTTGTTTCGCCTTTATCGTAGAAAAACTGTCACGCAGGGAACGAAATAAATGATGAAATTGCCAAAAGTTTCATCCATCTGACGACCTTCCAATATATGAAATACGAAAGTCGCTAAAGACTCTGTAAAATTAAATTACTGCGGAGCCGATGGGCGGATTAGGCTGAGATGAAATGTCTTAACATCATTCAAGACCGCCAAGATCAGGTGCAACGGAAGCAAAGCAAATTACGGCTACGCGTTCTAAAAAAGACAGTTATAGGCTTAATGATAGTTCACAACCTACTGGCAGTATAGGCGAACAGAATGGACATTAGTAGCAGTTACATGTGTGTTGCAAGTGTAAAGAGACATGCATAAGCGAGAGATTGGTACACATCCTCTGCTGCTGCGCGACCTTAGCTACATCACATTTTAGATGTTTTGGAACTTCGTTGTTCAGAAATATGAAGGAAGTCTCAAAACTGAGAATCAAGAATCTCCAACTGGCACTACAAAGGACCAACAGGCCTATATAACGCATAGCAGCCAGCCGGTGTTACCTAGCAAACCAACCACGGAAATTCACAAAGTTTATCCTGCTTCGAGGATTTCAAATTTTTTAAAAGATCAGCGCATATATTGGACGCCTCAAAATTAATGATTTTGGAGTTCTCGAAAGTTTCCCATGAACATCCCTACTTGCTTATGGTTTTTTTAAAAGATGTCCTTAAGCTAACCTCAAATAAGGTTTCCAGCTTGTTTTCAGTTTTTTCTCACATTTTTTTCGTTTTACGAAAAAAACATTAATCAATAATAAATTTATGATTTTTTCGCTTAATCTTTTACCTTTCAGCAAGCTCGGAAATGACACGCTCGGAAATCCTTCGATTTTAGAATGGAAAACTTAAGCCAATCCAGTAAAATTCTGTTGAAGACACCGTAAGATGTGGTTCTTAGTCAGAGCTTGACTTACCTTATGGAAGATCAGTTGATTTCAGAGCACAACACTACCAAAATCCACAGAGAGTCTCCAAAGCACTGTAAAAACCAATCGTAATAGAAAAAGTCGACTGCGTGTAGAATGACAGAATAATCGTTCCTCCTCATGTAAACTTAAAGTAAAAGCTGTGCAAGGCTTTACAATCTGAGGAAAACACTTAAATAAAACATTTACTCTCGAAAAATTTCAATTTTGACATGCGAAAATAACTTTAAGATACCAGTGGCAATTTCGAAACCACTCAGAGAGAGAAATCGTACTGATGCCCTGCTAATCACCTAACACAGCAATAATTATGCATTCAAATCAATCATTCGAAGGCTGAGAGGCAGCTCAAAGTGGACTACACCCCTTACAATCCCACCGAATAGATAGATTCGTATGTCCATTATGGGGCCTCCTTTCTTTTACAACATGCTCGTTTTCGAACTTTAATACACGGTGTGTCCTAAAAATAACCGAACTTTATATATAAATCATATAACATACAGCGCCATCTATTGAAAATTTGCAACATTAAAAAGATACATTCATTCTCTTTCAAACGCACCTAACATCATGTAAGTCGGATGACAGCTGTAAAAGTGACAGCCATTTCAATAAAACCAAAAATTGGATAATGGTTCAAAAATAAAATGCAACAAAGAGCAAATATAAAATTTTGTGTCAAACTTGAAAAAAATAATGAAAAAAGTTTATTGTGATGATTGTATGAGTCGTACGCAAGTTTATACGTGGTTTACACGATTTAAAAATGGTCTTGAGGATTTGAATGACGACCCTAGAGCAGGACGTCCAGAAACTAGTAATCGTGCTGAACTGGTGGGAAAAGTTCGTGAAATCATTGGTATCGATGCAAATTTTACTACGAGAATGTTGGCTGAGGAATTGAATACGAGTAAAAACACTATTTGGAGAATTTTAATTGTAGATTTGGGGAAAAGAAAGCTCTGTGCGCGATTTGTTCCACATGAATTAAATGACGACCAAAAAATCGCTCGAATTTTTAATGAATTTTTAATAAAAAAAAAAGGGATTTCTCTCATCGAACATCCTCCGCATTCGCCTGATCTATCACCATGTGACTATTTTTTATTTCCAAAACTGAAAACCAAGCTGAAGGGAGCATTTTATGATGATAACCCAGCCATGCAAGCGGCCGTTACCGAGGTACTGCAGAACATTTCTATAAATGACATAAAAAAATTTATGCATGCGCTGGTTGATCGTTCCAAACGTTGTGTTGAGTCAAATGGAACTTATTTTGAATAAATAATAACTTTCAAAGATAATATAATGTGTATTTTATTTTATATCCAAAAAGTACGTGTATTTTTGGCACACACTGTGTATGTAGTCATTTAATTTTCCAGCACTTATCGCCTATCTTACGCTGTGCTCATGGCCAACCAAATGCCGTAACTCATATAAATACTTTAATAAACGAACGAAGGACTGTACGAGCATTTTTCTCTGGCTGTATATTCTACGACCAGCTCATGTTGATTGCAAAATAAATGCTTTAAATACTTTAGTATCCATTTAGCAGCGCCGCTATGCGTTGCTCCCACTGTGGCCTGAAGTCTAAGCGCAAAAATAGTTGTTTACATTTATATAAGCCAACGGCACTACCGGAAGTAGAACGTAAAACATTCAAATTCAAACCAAATTTAATGGAACAGAGTCGGACAGCGTATGACAAAGTGGATATACCGATTGAATTCAAGGTCTCACCAGAAAGCTTATTACATTTAGCCGCCAGAGTGCTTGATGCACTACCATTGCCCGATGTCTTTGGCTGGACTAACGATGATGTTTGTAATTGGTTGAGATGTTTGGATTATGCACATTATGAGGTGAGCGTAGCAGTTGAATTATGTAGAGTAATTAAAAGAGAGGCAACAGAGCAGAATATATAATTTACATAGCAGTCTGACTAGTAGACTCTGTAGACCACAAAACCATTAAGCTCCCACACGATGTATATAGAGCGATAGTGAATAGTGAAGTTCAAAAAGAGTATTTACATTTCTTAATCCATTCTCACCACGCTCTTTCTACATTTCAGCACACATTTCGGTTGAATTCAATAACTGGCCGGAAGCTACTACTAATTGATTCCAATACACTGTGCGCTATGAATATAAAAAATTTCAACGATATTAAACATTTAACACACGCCATACGCCAACTATTCCACACGGAGCTGACGAGTTTGTTGCGTAGTGTCGCATTAAACTCGCAGAACATTTGTGAAATGTATAAATTCTCGCAGGCGAGTGGCTATGATCATTTAAGGCGTTCCGATATTTTGTGTAAACTAGGCTTTATGCGTGAGAAATCAAAATATCTCTGCCACTGGGATATACTCGAGAGTTGGCTGTCCCGTTCAACGGTCCTGAAACAAACGGAGTTATTTGGTGCAAGATAAGGAATTTTTCTTGACTATAATATGAAACGCGATACTTCAGAAAAATGTCCCTTTTTTTTAAATTCTGATGTCGGCAACACATTTCTCACCATATTTTCTGATTATCTGCTTCGAAAACACACATAAAATTTGATAATTTTTCCTAAAACATTTTAAAAATCTTTAAAGAATAATATAAATTTTGGATGCTGTTCAAATAAAAAAATTAAGAATCGTCTTTAATTGACAAATTGTATAAAGTTATTGTTATTATTATTAAAGGTTAGGTTAGGTTAAGTTGGCTGACCCAGTGGGTCTCACATAGGCGAAATACATCGATAGTATTGCCAGTCACACTACATGCAGTCGAGCTGTGGTGCTAGTGTGAAGAACATTGCTGTACTTATCGCGAATTTAAGTAGTCGTTCTGGCCACTTGACCATTGCCAATTGAAGATCTTGTTGTCTTTCTACGCCAAGTATACATAACCTTTGCGTACCGTAAGCCGAACAGTCACAGATTATGTGCTATACTGTCTTCAATTATTCCTTGCATTTCCTGCACTGGTTATCCGCAGTCAGCCCTATCTTAAACGCATGAGTTGCCAGTATCCCTATCAGCAAGCAGCATGGAGCTCGCTCTCTCAACAGATAGTACAGAGATTATGAGTTTAGTATTGTATGTTTTACACACAGTCTTCGCGATTTTGCAGCGCTTAACTCGCAGTAGTATTACTTCCTACTTTTTCTTTACTTCCTTGAATGTAACTGGTAGGTGCGATGCTGCGTCCTGTTCTAAGTGCACACCCTAGAGTTAGCTGACGTCCCGCGTCTCAATGCCCGCGTGGCCTCGCACCCAGTAACATCATCTATTATTCTTTCTTTAAATCGAAGCCTTTATATACTGTTCACTCGATAACTTTTTGTCATTTTGAAAGTTATGTCATTATACCTCTGTCGTAGTAAACCCTGTACCTATTGACAAAAAATTTGGTTGTTCGATTTTTATAGACTTTCCCTGAGGTCAATTCTTCACCAGCCAGTGCTTACACTATAGACAGGATGAGATGGTTATCACTTGGTGCAAGGTCTGGATTATAAGGTGAATCCATAAGATCCTCATAGCCAAGCTCTCGGAGCTTCTGGCGAATCAGTGTGTTAGTTCTGGCGCTATCTTGATGAAACACAGTTTCCCACCCTTTTGAGAACGTCAAGAAATATAAATAGGCACATCGGGTATAGGGTCTTCTGCTACACTTTCACTTACAGTGGTGACATTTGACGTGGAGGTATTGCTCTTCCTCTGCTTCCACCGGCGAGTATTGCATCGAAAACTCTCAGAGCTGGAGTATTATTATCCATCCGGACCACATGGTTCGCTGAACTATGTTTAATACAGCTCATCATTCCATCGGCTGCGATACAAAGCCGTTACAAACTCGTAGAAGACCATAAATCTTACGCAAAACTTTATTCTCGAAAACTCCTAACGCCGACTCAGCAGATGTTGTCATCATTCATATAGCAGGAAGTCATATCGATAACGCCCGATAACTTTTTGTCATTTTGAAAGTAATGTTTATTGATGGTGGACTTTGTATCTATGAAACAATACTATGATCCCACCATCCCACGGTAGTTAGAGCATATAGCAGGACGGGAAAGATGATGGACTTGTAGTGTTTGGTTTCCATTCGTCGGGAGACGACTTTACTCTTCAATGGCCTACTCAGCCCAAAGTATCACCTGTTGGCAAGAGTGATTCTGCGCTGTATTTCAAGGCTGGCAGCTTAATTGGTGTTGATGCAGGTTGCCGATAGACGAAATTATTTACGACTTCAAAGAAAAGGCTGCCAACAGTGACGTGGGAGCCGTGTCGCGAATGCGATGACTGTTTGTGTGATGACAGGAGATATTTTGTCTTGCTCTCGTTCACTATCAGACTCGTATCCTTCGCTTACTTATCAAGTCTGGTGAAAGCGAACTCACAATCGATACAGTCTCTTAAAATTACTTTAAAATATTACCAATCGCTTGAGTTGACAATTTTCTTTGCATATTTGTACATACTCGTATATAAATACTTACTAATAAAAAAAGGTTGTCAAATATCTCCCTTCTGCTTTTTTGCTCTTCATTCAATGCTTTAAAAAAAGTGTTACAGTGATCGGATTTAGTTAAAATATGCGCCGTTTTGTTCGATGATCTGTTTCCATCTAGACGGCAACTTCAGAATACCTTCCTCGTAGAAGCCCCCCTCCTTATTTGCGAAGAATTCGGACTGCCACTTTTCATAAGCCTCTTTTGAGTTCAACTTCACACCACCAAGGGCATTCGCAATGGACAGGAACAGGTGGTAATCACTTGGCATTACGTCTGGGCTATATTGTGGATGCGATAAAATCTCCCATCCGAGCTCCCGTAGCTTCTGACGAGTCATCAACGAAGTGTGTGGTCTGGCGTTGTCCTGGTGGAACAGTACACCCTTCCTGTTTGACCAATTCTGGACGCTTTTGGTCGATCGCCTGCTTCAAGCGGTCCAGTTGTTTGCAGTAGATGGTAGAATTAAGCGTCTGGCCATATGGGAGCAGCTCATAGTGGATGATTCCCTTCCAATCCCACCAAACACACAGCAAAACCTTCCCGGCCGTCAATCCCGGCTTAGCAACTGTTTAGGAAGATTCACCGGCCTTCGACCACGACCGTTTTCGCTTGATATTGTCGTATGTGATCCATTTTTCGTCGCCAGTCACCATCCGCTTCAAGAATGGGTCGAGTTCTTTCCGTTTCAGCAGCATATCGCAGGCGTTGATACGGTCCAGAAGGTTTTTTTGCGTCAAATTATGCGGCACCCAAACATCAAACTTTTTTTGTATCCAGCCTTCTGCAGATAGTTCAAAATGGTTTGGTGACTAACTCCCATCTCCTGGGCGATGTCACGAGATGCCATATGCCGGTCTAACTCGATGTATTCCATGATTTGATCGGTATTTGTCGTCACAGGTCTTCCGCCGGCTGGCTTATCCATGGTGTCGTTTTCACCGGCTCTGAATCGTCGAAACCATTCCTCCGCGATTCGAAGTGATAGAGTACCATCCTCCAAAACACCATTAATCTCACGGAACGTTTCTCTAGCGGATTTTTCTTTAACGAAGGAGAACTTTAAAATAGCGCGAATTTCAGCGTTAGTGAACTCAAGCTATAACTGTTGAACGCAATATCCAAACTAATCATACATAGCGTTGTTTTGTAGGTTATGTCAAGACCTTTCAAATTATGTATAGTGTTGCCAGATACGAGCTCTGTAGCGCTTTGTACATAGCCGCGAAATTCAAAAGACAAAAAAGCGGAAGGGAGATATTTGACAACCTAATATTAACTTACGCTATGATGATCTCCATATATTCGCACCTACAATAAGCAAAAGGTATACAAATATAAACAGTATTATATACTTACCGTTATGAACAGCTAAATAAGCCAAATTATATAAGCCTGGAAACAATAACCTTTTTCTCTATATGAACATATGTACAGACATATATATAACTTAGTTACTTATGCATACAGCATTCACTTCCTTAATACAAAAGCACTTTTGTTGCTCACTGAACTATTTAGACCATTGTTCTCAAATTAGTGCTGAAAATAGGCGAACATTTATATACATACATACATCCCTATACATATTCATATATATGTAATTGACGCTTTGTAAACGCTGCAGCGATTTTCGGCCGAGCTCCTCCTGCGTTTGAATGTTTTTACAACAAATCGCGGGTCTTGAGTGCTGACGGTTTTTATGCGGAGCTTTTATCATATTTCATATCAGAAATACACTGGAAAAGGATGACATATCCGACCGAGGGGCGACCGCAATTAGAATAATTCATTTTCTATAACCACTCTGGCCTTCCGAATGGCAGTACGCGCTGCTAACCTCTCGGCTAACGGCTGATACGTTGTAAATATGCTCAACTGAGTGATTTGAAATTCTTCATTCTAAATGAGAGACCCAAAGTATAGCATCAATTTTAGCTATTTTAGCTCGCAAAGAGCGATAATTCTTGGCTTTCTATTCAAAGGATCTGCACCACTAAGTTGTACGAAAATGGCATGTGTGGAGTTTTGTTTTTGTTTATCGAGTGATGGCTACATTTTAGATTTTCTGCTAAGAGCAAAGCAGCCGCTGCTAAAGAGGAAGATTCTGCTCCAGATTTCTGAAGCCACTTTTATATCCAACACCTTAGAGAGATCTTTTCCGATACTGGCGGGGAGCTATACTCTTCAGATAAGATGTTCATGCGTAGCGGTATGGGGGCAACTTCTTTTCAACTATCGAAGACGGCTTTAAAAGACAGAGAAGCTAAGATTTTTCGTCTTTTTTTTCTCAAAGAGTTTACGTACGATGAGTACTCGATCAATGTTTGATTTGGGAGTTCGGAAATCAAATCCATAACGTCCGATTAGTAAATTGAAGATGGATTTTGCATCTTTCAAACAATACTATGATCCCACCATCCCACAATAATTGGAGCAAATAGTAGGGAATGCCTTCTTACGAACTGGGCAGAGTATGACCATATTCCCAGCTGCAGCTTATGCATACGTATTGCCAGTTCATCACCAAATTTGAATATCTCAGCCGGTAAGCGGTTTGCTTCCACCTCTTGCTTTTGTTGTAGCCGCAAAAACATTTCCTAAATGGATTTAGGAGTAAAGTTGCGGGCGTCAGAGTCCTTACGCTGATATGTGGTTTCGGCTATTGCGGGGACTCTTGCATTTTAGTTGCCTCTCATGACAGGCATAGCTTTCCTGCGCTATATTGACGGCCGCCTCTCTTGTTATTCTTAAATTCAGCAAACGCTATTCGAGCTACTTCAGTATTAGGAGTTGAAACACGTATGCTATCGCCAGCGACTCGTGTACAGTGTCAGCATCTCCAAAGTGTTTCATTCACTATAATTCAGGCTGAAGAAGTCTTAGAAGTGAGATCGCGCTATTAGATCGCCTTTTGTGATTTTCGAGTCGATTCCCGAAGTTTTGCGTATTCGCGAATTTCAAATTCGCTTTTCTCCCTCTACAAATGCTCTGCTAGAGAAAGTAGTACATGCGGTGGAACAAAGGTGGAAAAGTGCAATCTTCTATTTTATGCTATACGCATACCGACAATATTGATGTCATCCGAAATTTACTTGTTCCAACATTAAGTTTCTCTCTACCTTATGGTATCAGCTCTACTTTTGATATCGAAAGCCAATAGTTTATGTGAATGAAATGCACTCGGAGGGCTTGACATTCCCTGCCGAAAGGTCAGAGCGGTTGGAAGCTGCATATAGAAGCCTCAAATGACGCCTCACATTTCCTGAACAACTGGAACTTTCATGTTAAAGTGAAGCGGTTACGAGTGCCGCTGATGTGTCTTGCAAGAGTCCACACATTTCCCATTGCATAGCAATTCATTTTGTGCCTGAGCACAATGCCATTGTCTAAGAATTATATAATTTAAATACAAATTAATACTTCTGAGCAAGTACAAGAGTATTAGGGTGTGTAACTTTGTAATGTAAAAGAGTCTATGTAAACACACTTCCTTCAACTTCAGAAAATCATAGAAACTATAATGGGAAAAATTGAGACCTTAAGTATTCAAAGTTTCACACTGAGCCATTCGTTATGAAAATCTTCTTTACGGACGTAGACACCACGTATACCTTTTTCAAGTTACCAGCAGGGCCGACCGCAATTAGTGCGAGTTCATTCATTTGTTATTTTCGCTGTCTGACGCCTATTCGAAAAATGAAGTGGATCCAACCAAGTCCTTCTATACCTGATCTTTCCAACGAAGTAAAGGTCTTTCTCTTCCTCTGCTTTCACAGGTGCCTACTGTATCGAAAACTTTTAAAGCTCTACTGCTCACATCCTTTATAATCAAAATTACCTGGCCAGCGTCATCTCATTTTTCCACAGGCTGCAGTACTCGCCTATGCCAATGTGCAAAACGCCATAAATATTAAGCGAATACTTGCTCCTGAAAACTTCTACCACCGACTGATCGGAGGTTCTCATCCTCTATGCCTCTTTGCAGAGTTTGATCTTTGTTATTCGAGAGAGGATTTTCCTTTTCAATTGCCTACTCAGTCCTAAGTAACAAGAATGATACAGCGCTGGACTGGCTGATATTGTTGTTGGAGGCAGCGCTATCCAATAATAGATGAAATTATCTAAGACTTGAGTTATGACTGTCGAGTGGCTTGGGAGCCGAGCACCGAAAGCGATAACTGTTTGTATCAAAAGCTCGGAGAGATCCTTCGCCATCCTGACGAGATGAAATTATCTAAGACTAGAGTTATGACTGTCAACAGTGACTTGGGAGCCGAGCACCTAAAGCGATAACTGTTTGTATCCAAAGCTCGGAGAGATCCTTCGCCATTCTGACGAGATGAAATTATCTAAGACTTGAGTTATGACTGTCAACAGTGACTTGGCAGCCGAGCACCGAAAGCGATAACTGTTTGTATCAAAAGCTCGGAGAGATCCTTCACCATCCTGAAGAGCTTTTGGTGTTTGCTTAACGCTAGTTCACACAGCCCTATAAGTTTTGCGAGGATACTAAATTCAAATATTCATTCATTTGTGCGTCGATATGACCATATACTCGTATATATGCCATATTGAGAAGGCCTATCGCACGGTAATTGGCGCCAGCTGTGGGATCCCACTTGTTGCATGTTTCTTCCCACCATATTCAGCAAAGAAGCTCATGCAAGCACACTATCAGTTCTCCGCAGCGGTATTTGAATAGGCCCCGCGAGATTGTTCTTTTTCAGGAAGATCAAGGAAAATCTGTTCTATCGGCAACGATTTGGAAATCAGCTTCCACATTTCCTAGAGTTGATAACAACTTTAGTGGTAAATTATGGAATTTAAAATGATTTGATTTCGGGCACATAAATCTTGAATGTTAAGATTCATTTAATGCACAGATGATTAGAAAACGTTTTTTCATTCGATTTCCCATGCGGAGAAACAACCAACTCGTTCTGATTTTTCTCTCTATCCTCTCCTTCTGCTTTCTGCTTCTTTAGAGCATCGGAGTTGTTGCTTTCAATGAGACCTCACAGTTTCCGCCAGGCGTGTAACTTGTATAAACGAGCTACCCTAATATTAGTCAGTAATTTGTATTCCCAATATGTTTATGAGTGCTTACATATGTTTCTATGTGTGTACATATATCTGAGTGCATTTAGCTATAATATTTGTTGACTTTAGTATACATTGGAGACTTAACTCAATTAACAAGTCCAAACAATGGAGCTCAACGCTTGTTCTTCTCCAAAATGCAACAATTGGTGTGTGTGTATTTTAGTACGTGTTAAAACTGTTCACCAAATCATTGCATTAAGGCTAAAATACAACTAAAGCGAGTGTTTAATTTTGACAAAAGCAAGATGATTACCAATACATATACATAAATGAAGCCAATAAAGTTGATTGTTAATTAAGGCAATGATTTAAATTCTTAAATTCGACCGGCATGGAAAGAAAATGTAATAAACACTGGCTGGTTAACTGTTCTATGGAATTATGTAAGATCTGATACAGAAACTGAAATGAGTTCTTTGGCAATGCTAGAAATTCGTGGAGAAGCACATCTATAGAGCCGTTTAGTACCAAACGATGTCTCAGTCAGGTTGACTTTATCATTTCATTTCTTCAATTTGACGGAGCTACGTGTTCAGTTCCTGGCGCCCTAAGCTCTGCTTTCTCCAGATAAGGCAGCGAAGGATATGGATCTGATAGTCAATGAGGAAAATACGGAACATCTTTTCTCATCAAACAAGCAGTTATCGCATTTGCGATCCGGCTCCCACAACACTGTTAACAGTCATTACTTCGCTCATAGATAATTTAGTCTGTCTAGAAACCAGCATCAACACCAATAATAATGTCAGTCTTGAAATCCAACACCGAATCACTTTTGGCAACAGTTGCTACTTTGGACTGAATGGGCAATTGAAGAGTATAGTCCTCTCCCGATGAACAAAGACCAAACTCTACAAGTCACTTACCATGCCGGGTGCTGCTGTGTAGTGCAACAGCGTGGACGATGTCGACATCCGATGAGAACAGTTTTGCGAAATATTGACTGAGTCCACCGAGCTAAGAGGGTAGGTAATGTCGGCTGAAAACACCATAGTTTTGAAAGTATACGATGCTGTCCACTCCTTTGAAAGCATCAGGCAGAGAGTGACTCAGTCCACCGTACTAAGAGGCTAGGTAATGTCGTCTGAAAACACCACAGTTCTTAAAATATACGATGCTGTCGACTCCTTTGAAAGCATCAGATGGAGAGTGACCTGGTTTCACAAACAGCGAAGAGAAGCAACGAATTGGCGATTTTAGTTCTGCGATCGCACATTCTTATAAATCTTCCAATTACATAATAAGTTGGACAGTAGACATACCTCGACCTTGTTTAATGCACGTTCACTCTGATGAACCCATTGCTCCTTGGCTTCTGGTGCAGTGCGATGAGTTGATTTTCCATCTACGGCTTGGAAATAGCGAGAAAATTCCCTCTTATTAAAACTGAATGACGCCAAATAATGCCTTGAAGTGTTCTTTCGATTTCGGTTAAAGTCAAGTATGAGGAATCGCGGCCTGCATCATCAGCGAGCTTTCGAATGTCCGAATATTCATGCAAAATATGATGTATCCGCTCAGGGGAGATGCTTCCAATCTCAGCCACCACACACACTTTCGTTCTCCGATCAAACTCAATATCTTACTATGGATTTTATCGAGAATTTATGACCTTTCGACTTCTCTTGGTTGACCTCCACGTACAGCTTATCTTATATTTGTATGACAGCATACTTTTTTTCAAAAACTAAAAGTGATATTGACCTTAAAGACCAGCGGTTACAACCTGTTAACATTCTTTTTAGATTTATCAAGTGATAAAAAATACTTTCCAAAAAATCTCTCACGGCAAAAGGGAGTCATTTTCGTATGGGATTCTATCCTATCAGAGTAGATTTAATACCTCGGGCTCCAAGTTATCCAGCCGCGCAGCAGAACAGGTCCCACTAATGTTGTATGCCAAGATTTAGTAACGTAAAGCGATATGAATTCCTTTGACCATCGGTAAGTCTATTTCTATCTCACTCATTATGTAAGAAACACCGCTGATATCAACAACACGAGATAGTCACCATACTCTCATTTCTCCTCCATTGAGTTTGGTTAGTTTAGTTCAGCGACACTTATAAAAGCGTGGGAAAGCAACGCCTTGAGAAGTCCAGTGTAACTACAATTCAGGAGTCAGGTGAATGACTTAGCCGATGGTCGAAACTTGGAATTATCCAGCGTTAAACAGCATCAGTCCGATGTCGAGAGGTTTTTAGTTGATATGCATATTTCAGTTTTCTTCAAAATATATGTACCCTGCCTTTTTTTCATACAGAAACTATAACTTTTAATGAAATATTAATTTTTATTTTTTATTTTCCCACACTGAACTTGGAAAACTATATTGTAATTTTACTTCAGAATTTTCCATCATTCAATCCTTAGATAATTTTCATTTCATATTTTTTATTTTATAGCAACATAATTATATTTTCAATTTTATTTCATATTAACAGTGTGCACGTGTGTGTGTGCGTATGTGTAAAAAATAAGTTCGTAAAATGCGTTTATTATATGGAGAATCGGATGAAAAATTCGTATCGCCTAAGGCGAGTGAGCTGATTGATGCAGTGAAAGAGCATACGAATATAGACGAATATAATTATAAGGAAAATCCGTTTGTTAGAGTATCGAAAGGAAGTGATATCGATAAAAACTCCTTACCGATTGTATTCAAGGTTTCACCAGATACTTTACTCAATATGGCGGCATTGGTGGCGGATCGAATTCCACTGCCATCGGTATATGATTGGTCCATTGAGGATGTCTGTCGCTGGATACGAAAGTTTGGCTATAGACAATATCAGGTTTGTGCAATTTTTTTTATAAAAACAAAACTTTTGATTTCAATTGTTGGAATTAAGGTGAATACTCTTGTAGATAAGGTACGGATAGAGTCATGAAATTCTTCGAAGTGCTGTGTTACTAAAACTTTGAAATTTATCACTACTTCCACTCGAGATATAGAAAGCTACTAATGAATCGACATATAGACTAGATGTGCTGCGGTCAGACCAAAACTTGGCTTGCTGCAAGTCTAAGCAGACTTAACTGAGACTAGACCGAATTAGACCACGTAGCTTATACTGACTGATAATAAAGTACATTATTATTGAGGTCACTACCGCACATTAAAACATGCTGAAAGTCTAGGAGCTCTCCTCGGAAGATTTTTATTGGGTGCGAAAGTGCAAAGAGAAACAGACGGGAATTTCTCATGTTCTAAGTGACCGGATAGAAGTAGGAGTTGCAAGCTCGGAGCCGCCCGAATTATAATTCAAAGTTTCTACTACAACAAGAGAGTGCAGTAAAGGTGTGCTTAAGCCGTCACGCTTTCCCGGCCGTCGGTTTTGCCCCAAGCGACAGCAACTGGGTGGATATTGCATTCATAGGACATTTGTATGTTTATTACTTGCGGTCTCTCCATCTAAATGGTAGGTAGACTAAATCAAGAGGCTCATGCATTTTACAATAGGAAATATTTTTGCCTCGTCAGTTCCCAATGGTTGATTTTTTTGAGAAATTTGTCATGTAGCTATTTTATAAAAGAAATTTCTTGGGAATCGATAGCTTCAACATCGAGTACTGAAGAGTCCAGAAAAATCACTGTGGAGTGCAGAGTTTGAAGGAAAAAGACTCGATCCACTTTTAAACTGTACTGTTTTTCAAGCGGAACTGGTGGCCATAACAGTACTTCTAATTAATTTTTCTGAGTACCCGCTTTAAATTTGATCTATAGTATATCGTCTCGGCTATCCAGGCAACACTAAAAGACTTGGAATTGCTGCAAACTACTAAACGTTCTCTGAATACCTAGTATATGTAGGTGCCCGGGCACAGTAGCATACTAGGAAAGGCACTACCTTGGCGTTTTTTTTTTCATCATTGAAGAGTCCGGTCATACTGCTCTCGCTTTGTGAGCTGCTTTAAATGAGTTATTATTATTATGGAAAAGTCTCAATTATTGTAAAATGACAAAAGCTCATGAGAGCTTATTGCGCTAAAAAAAAAGTAATATCTTCATTGTAGGGTCTAACGGCACATCTTCTATTAGGTATACACGCGTCGATCCTGAGCGGTAGTTCTAGTGAGACTTAAAAACTTTTTGCAAAGACGGTTTGAGGTCTCTAAGGGCGGCAACCTTTAGAGACTTGATCGGAATAGTGGTACTCTATTTTGGTAACCAACGTGTGGTGTTTGACCAGCGTGTGGAGGATCTCCCGTGAGGTCATAACGGGCCCATTCGTTGGCCGAAGTGAGCTGATACTAAGCAGCCACTTTAAACAAACTTAACCTATGATCGTCCTCTTTGAAACGGCAGTCCCTTTAATTTGAAACAGAGAGTTCTAAGAATTTTGATAAAATATTTGTTCCTCATTCTCGGTTTGTGTACTCACAAAAATCCAAATTTGCACCCGAACTCTAGGCAGGCGTCACATACTTAAAAAAAATAATAAATTTAATTTGTGCAAATTTTTAATTTAAATTTATTTTTTTTTAAATTTATTTTATTTAACCCAAAAATAAGTAACTTCAAAATTTTCCAGAATACCTTCCGCGTCAACCTCATTACGGGACGTAAACTACTTTTGGTCGACGCCACGGCGCTCACTTCAATGAATATAAAAAACTTTGAAGATATCAAACGCATTTCGTACGGCATCCGTCAACTATTTTACTTTGAGATGACAAAGTTTATGCACAGCATCTCATTACCGCCGCAGTACTATAATGAGTTATATAAACTTTTTCGTACTAAAAGCGGTTACACTTTTGACATAACCAAACGCTCGGAGCTATGGCGACGCATGCAATTGATACGTAAGAGTAAACCATATCTGTCACACTGGGATACACTGGAACGTTGGTTGATGCGCGCACGTGAAACTGAACCGGAACTCTTCGGCGGTGTACCACACTATCGCCTGTATCGTTGTAATGTGGCACTGAAGCCAACAGCGCAAATGCAAGCAAAACAGGCAGTTAATGCGTGTACATGTATGCCACCATGCTTTTGCTATCACACCGAAAGACACTTTAAACCGCCAACAGTATTCTCATTGCTTAAAGCGACACGTACACCTGATCAAGCGTATACATGCCCGAAGGAACGTTGTAGCAACGGTGTGCCACCCTGCACCTGCCATTGGAAGTCATCACATTATAAATTCAATCAGACATTATCGTGTTTACGTAAAGAGCTTCCACATCGTTATGGTAATAGGAAGCATACAATGGCGCTTTCATTTTTGGACTCCAACGGGATCAGTCGTCCGACTTTAATCTAGAAACTTATAGAAATTTGTAATAGTTATGTTTTACAATAATAAAAATGGGTAAAGAGATGAAATCAAGGAATCGATTTGTGGAAATAATCGATAGCTTATAAAGTGTTAAAAAAAAATCGAACTGAACGGAAGATATGCGAGTAAATCAACTCCTTGTTTCTTTTTGGGGGATTAGAATCGAGCAGATATCCTTTTGCCGAGATTCTTTCGGAAAAGTGAACTACTGCATTTATGGTTGGATTTATCGACGATTAAGACTAATCAAAAATCGCTTCAGCGAATTAGCTGCGCTGATTATCAGAGGCCTAAATGATGAAAGCAGAAATTATGTGAGTGGCTCTTATCATCGAAGCTATCTGCTGAAAAAATTTATAACTTTAGACCAGGGAGTGGCATTCTGTAATCTTGCAGTCGTCCTCTTAGAAAACAGTCAAAGCTGATTATCCGCAGAAGCGGATTAACAAGCTGTTTGAACTCTGTAGGCCGATGACAAATTCCCTTTAAGGAGGCATAGTGGAAACGCCATTCAGTCTAAAAAATAAATTAAAATCCAATCGAAAAGACATTTGTCAATAACTTTCCCAACTCCTAAGCATATGCCCCCACTCCCTACCACCAAACTTAATGACTTGAACGCCTTTGTCAATGTAAACCTACATCATAGATGCTCCCAGGACAAACACATTGTCAAGTGATTTGCTCACGGGCATGGTTTAGTGGAAAAAAGAGGCAGCAATGTTCGCTTGATTTGGCGTGAACCACCATATTCTGCTAAACAACATCAATTAAACTCACATCTGAATGATCTAATAATTTAAATCCCTGTGAAACCGCACGAAATGCATCAAGGTCAGACTCTGGTTCGGGGACAAGTTGTCATACCACGTGTGCTTTTGTGAATGTTTTGTTAATTTGCATTGTTAATCGCTCCCTTATTTATTTATGTATACATCGGTCTTTCAATTATTCCGACTACATCATGTAGATCCCTCGACGTAAGCCTGCTCTCGAAATGACAGCCGGTCGAAGGGGATTTGATTAGCCAATCGTCGCAGGTGTTTTCCATACAGAGTAGCTCTCCATGCCACCGTTAAGAACCTCGGCTGTTGCCACTTGCCCAGTGTGTACGACAAGCGGATGCAAACAGCGTACTTCAAGTAAATCTTTCAAACAATTCTTCGGTAGCAGCAGCTTGGAATAATTCAAAGCTCTCTCCATTCATATGATGGGTTAATTTGAATTTGAACCCCTGCGCCCTTGGCTATCATCCATAAGGGCGGTTTCCGCGGTCCTTAGATAAAAACTTCTTGATTCTCATCAGTGCCACCAGCTAGGTTTTTCCACCCGTGACTTATATTTATGATTTCGAAAAGCACTTAGCTTTGTTGGAGGCTATTCGATGGTTCTTTCTTATGAACTCAACTATTCAATTAAACAATGTGCTTAATAACCATTCTGAGGCGGCCAATTGTTTGATGAAGTTTCTAAACGATATATTGGAAACTGAGCAATGTTTACTTTGAAGTGAATATATGTCCCTGTGGTGAGAAAAAGAGCTGCCAACCCGATTATAGTTTATCGCACCTTCGCCACCTTTTACGACTTTATAGCCGTGTTAAAAAATAGCGCGAGGTTAGTTTTATTTTCTTTGCCAATTGGAGACACTAAGTGAAGCCTGGCCCTTCTCCACCTAAGCGCTACAGCGGAATGAAGGACTTCCTTTTTTGATGCAATATCCGCCAGTGGAATTTCAAAGCTGGCGTGTTCATCCCCTAGCCCCCTAGCAACCTAGCAAATACGCTGAACTATGCTAATCTCGCCTGTCTTGACTATAATATCCGGAACCCTCCACACTAAGCCATAGAGATCTCTTAAATGCGCACAAGTCTATCTGGTCTTTGCTCTCTAATCTTAAACTAAAGGAGCCCATCATCAACTTTGCATTAGTAGCAGGTAGTGACTTTTGGGTGAAATACGCCAGCGACTCTCAATATGATTAGACAAAATATTGCTAAACTCACTCACTTTGTAGGGCTTGCATGAAGTGCTGAGAGCACTCTCTCAGCAGCCAATGCAATAAGAAGAGCCATATGTAGCTCCAGATGGCCAGCCGAATTTAAGTTTCAACCGGCGGAGTCAATTACATTTTTTGAGAGTTTTCATGCTCTACCGTGATGCTTAGATGATCCTATTCTTCTCCAATCATTCCATTTTTTATTTCAATAAATATTCTCTGTCTCTCTCTCTCTCTCTACGCTCGTTTTCGATGATTGTGTACACAATTTGGTTATGTTATAGATTGTATCGCACCATATGTTTGCCGTGTTCGCGTGTTTTATCCAAACTTGTCATAATTCATATTTACTAACTTATATGCACACACAAACAGCTTATATTGAAAGTGACCCACCCAAAAAAAAAAAGATCGTATAACTTGAAAATCCTTCTTTACATGTTTATTTTTCTTCCTTCCAACCTATGCTCGCTGCTAATTCTTACCAATTGCTGCCGTACTTATTAGTTTAACATCTACAAGCAGCCAACCGCCGCCGCCACCATACCTTGCCGATCATCATAATCCAACCAGCCGATCGCCTTAAATCGCCAAGCTGTCGGCGCACAAGCAAGAAAATGAGTACGCGTGCGCTCGCACTGTACTCTCTGTGTTGTCTGTCGTCGCTGTTGCTGTTGTCGTCGGCGTCGTCATAATCAGCGTCTCGCCCGACCCGTACCAGTCGTTATCGTCTCGCACTGCTGATCACCATCGCCGGTAAGTATTAGCCGGCGCGTCGCCTTACCGCCGTCATTACAGATCGTTTATTGGCCTGATCACGTGTTAAAATTTATTGATTGTCCATAACGCTTGGCTTCCAGCTGAGTGGCATGGGAGACGTACGTGTGGCCGCGCCGCTCAATTTGCACCAGACACACACACACATACACACACACACTCGCAGTCTGAATACCGAATACAAGTCGAAATGATGTTGGCAACTTAACAGCAAAGTAAATAGGCACACGTGAGGGTTTGTTATGAGCTGTTTGATACTTTTTTCCTAAACGAATAACTACACGAAAGACATCACCAACCGAAGTCGACAACGGTGACGGCAACGACAGTAGGTGAGCTGATTTTCATAGTTGTATCTGTAGCGTTTGTGGTTGATATTCATAAGTACTTCGTGTACAGATTTTATGCTAATGTGCGATAACTGATCTTCTGGTGCCTGTAAAATATTGTATGAGTTCCATGCTGTTAGAACCCATAATGTGTGATATGTATATTTATATATGAGTTACATAGCGATGACTTTCGAAGTTGAGAGCTCGAAGAGGAGAATTGGAAGCTGAAGTGATCTTCGGCCGAGCTTCTCCTTCAATTTGTTTTTTAATACCAAGAAATGGAGACTCCTACAGTTTCTTCTAAGCCGCATTCGAACGGCTGGGGGATTTTTATGAGGAGCTTTTATTTCATATCACAAACACACTCGGAGGGTTGGACTTACCCTTACCAAACTCGAGCGCAATTATTTAATTTAAAATAAATTTTCTATAATATATTTTCACTGGCCAGAGCAGAGTTCGCACCCTGAAATTAAATATAACGTTTAATAATATGATACAAAAGATTGTCACAAGCCGAGTGTTTATTTAGTGGCGGTACGCAGGGTTGTTGACCCCTTCTCAACGGTATCAAAATAGCTGTCCAGTGATCTCCTAGCACGAAGATGAGACGATTAGAAAATTATAGCCAAGAGAGGTCCACTCAGTCAGTGGAAAGTGGCAATTAGCTTGACGATTTAACCTTTGTATCATGGAAGTGTCACAGACAACAATCAGTTTTAGTCCTTCAGACCAACCTTAGCTCGGATATGTTAGTCACAGCGGTCAGTCAGCAATTTCGCTTAAAAGTGGTGGATGGTAAGAAGTCACCTAACTCCGGCAGAGTCTCGTCTCTCTGATACCCTCTTTCTATATATAAATATGAACACGTGAATGTATGTGTTGTACTCGTAGTCAAGGAAAAGTGGCGAAAAACCCTGCTCCACTTGGCATATGGCCAGCCAGGGTTAGCCAAAGTCACTTGCATTATTGTCCCAATAGCTAGCGGCTCAACAATGCATTCCAAGGGTCCTTTATGTTATTTGTCTGTCGTAGAGTAAGATAGAAATCTTAGATACTACAGTAAAGGACGTCGCAAGAGTTCATAAAAAAACTTAAAAAACAAGCTTGGAACTCGCTGCCCTTTCCTGATTTGTGTTAAAAGCAAGAAAGAGAAAACCCCCTAAGTGTGTGAAGGTGTTGTCCTCTAAAAGCACTGAGAATGCACATATTAGCTCTGAATCCGACTGAAAGTGATCTACGAGTATTTCCCAAGACCCTTGGCCAAAAGGGATTAAGATTAAAACGTTACTTGGATGTCAAGTCGAGATGCCAAGTGAAACCAAGTCCCCAGGTACTTTTCTGCTTCAACTAACGGATACCTCAGAATTAATGCCGACTCAAAGCTTGCCGTCATCGTCCAAGACTCTTCGACATAACTTTGAACGGCTGTTATGAGGGACTGGTAGAGTCGAGATTTTGCTCGTCTAGAGGGGACTTAGGTTCTCCATTGCTTAATCAGTTCAAAATAACACCTGTTAGCAGGAGTAATTCTGTTTATAAGAAACTGTTGAGGAACTTATGGAGAGATCGTTCCAATTTGGTAAGTCCCTTTATAATTTTAGGCAACGAGGGGCTTATACAATGAATAAATCGGTGGGTACATAGAATATGTAAGGAGTGAATTCCATTTGCTTTGGACCTACCAACAGGCATAAATAAATACTCTGTCCAACGGGCCATATTCTGAAGCAGCTCGGATGATTGGAAGTTGAAACATATCTATACTGACAATACTCCCCCCCCCCTCCCCCTCCTCTTCGAGCTTTGGATCGTATTTCGACACATAATTGACGAATTTAACTCTGCAACTCTTGCAAAAACTACGCTCCTCCGCCAATCATGCCATAAGCAATTGGTTGGTAAGAAAATGCTACTAAAGTAGGCTTATGTGGTGCAACTACCCGA